GAGAGAGAGAGAGAGAGAGAGAGAGAGAGAGAGAGAGAGAGAGAGAGAGGGAGAGAGAGAGACACACAAAGAGGTCTCTTCGGACTCTCTGTCCGTTCTATCGAATCAGACACGGAGTTTGCACTCGCCAATAGCGCAATTATTTGCCGAATCGCACAGCAATCGGATTCGAATAAATTCGAGTGCAATTGACAGAGCAATATTCATGCGCGTATATTTCACTTGTAAATGCATCCGTGTAACAAAGTAAAGTCTGGATTAAAAATGATTTCGCATTAACAATTAAACGTCAAATGGGAGAGACGTCGAAATATTTAACGAGACCGCTCTTTATGTACATATCAAATATGCTTGTAATTAAACGTATTAAAATCGAATGGAAAATTAATGATTGAATCGTCGATCGTTTTCGGACCGATAATTTCGTCGAAGAAAATGCAACGCGAATATGCCTCCGATTATTGTTAAAAACTTTATTCGCACACGCCACCTATAGTACACCAGAGTCGAACGCTGTTTAAGCGTCATTGCACAAATAGTGTATCGCGACGAAAATATATGATACAATTAAATTTGTACATTGAGGCGACGGTCTGACACGATGGCCGGTGTGTATAATATACGTGCATGTCACGTTCGCCAACGCGTCCCGCGTCGGACATATAAATAAAATGTCGTAGAAAAATGTGTGTCACGCGCTCCGCTGTGGCCCCGCCGTGTATCGACTCTAAGTATATCATCTATGCACTCCTAAGTTTACCTTTACGTCCTAAGCTTCTACGTATTTCTCGGATTTCCACGGGCTGATCTCTGCGGAGAAGTCCCGCGCGATTTCCGTCTTGCGTCTTATATTTTCCGTTTGCTTATCGGAAATTGATGTCTCCCGTTTGCGGGACAAGAGAGACTCGGTTATCCATCTTATTGTCGTATTTTTGTTATCAAGAGTGCGAGAGCGAGATAAATAGATAGACAGGTAGATAGATAGGCCAGGAGACAGAGAGAGAAGGAGAGTATTTGTATATATGTCCGAAACGCTTATCGCTCACATTTTGTGTCCCGGTATTTTATGTCGTATAAAAAATGAGGTAGTCGTAGCCTTAGAAACAAAGACAGAGATAGGGAGAGAGAGAGAGAGGGAGGGAGAGGGAGAGAGAGAGAGAGAGAGAGAGAGAGAGAGAGATCGTATTTGCTATCGAACTTCTTAGGCCGGAGCCGCGAAAATCATCGATTACCCCGTGGGAAGCGTTGAGCGCGCGACACGATCAGTAGAGTTAATTATGCATTTGCATTCTGCAAAATTTGCTTATTTACTTAGGAACTATATGCTGTTGGCGTGCGCGAGGCGGCTTGCTTCCGGGATGAGCAAACGAACTCCGAGAAGAGAGATCATCCACGGATGAACGTGTGCTTTTTATCGGATGTTGATTTCCTCGATTCTATTTTCATGTTGAACACAGCCGCACGTCTACTATTCTACTCTCATCAAAACTTCCGCTATAAAAACTACTTCTCACGTTGCGGAGTGTAGAAATCGTACAGATAAATATATAAAAATAAATAAATAATAAATCCTTCACCGAATACACACGTTCCAATTACACCGAGGGATTTCTCGTCGGAATAAGTATGGACATTTTCTAGTGATTTTGCGTGTCGAGAGAGCTCAAGCCGCCGATTTATCCCGCAGTGTGCAAAAGGGAAAGAAATCCTCCGGACATTCCATTGTACACGTGAAGAGATCCTCATTGACCAGAAAAAAGAAAACAAAATCGTATACACGTGTTCAGATTCTCCACGCTCTCGTCTCGTTGAAAAACAAAGCGACCACTGTTCAGCATTTATTCCGCTCTAATTGTCGCTCTTTGTCCCGAGAAACGCCCCCACCGCGCGCTCACCACCCAATAGTCCCATTGCAAAGATCCTTGTAGACCGACGCGGCTATTACGCCGTGCTTCTGACTACGACTATCCAGGAATCTCGATCTGTCGCACGTGGGCGATTTTCGCTGGACGACGCAGCCAGCGTCGACGCTGTGTCTCTGCTGTAACTTGCTGCCGCCTTGACCGCGTACTTGAGCACGATGATTACTGGTTATATCGACGTCTGCGAAGATGCACGACCTGTCGACGAGGTTGCCTCTACTACCAGCGACTTGGGAGGCAACTCTATTTCGTGTTCGTGAGTGTTGCTGCGCCGGCAACGGCATCGTCTGGTTCAGATAGTCGCGGATGGCCTGCTGATGGTGGCTGATGGACGGCGACTCCGGATTGCTGAGGTAGCCGCCATTCATGGTTTTGACGAAGTGTCGTGTAACGTTGCTAGGCAATGTTGAGGTCGACGTGACCATTGCTGATCTCTGTTTGAGACTCTTGGGATTGTTGCTGATTCTAGTTGGCTTCGCCGGCATCGTTCTGGGCCGCTCGTCGCCGCGGCAATTCACGGATGTCGAAACGAAAGGTCGCGACTGTTGAACGAGGACTTGCTGTTGATGATGATGATAATGTTGCTGTTGCTGCTGTTGGCAAGCCCTTCGAAACTTCACGCGAGGTACCGATGTCGCTAATTGATTCGATCTGCCTCCGGCGCCGTACTGAAATTCAAATATCCAGCGGGAACGTCAAACGCAATGAAATCGCGATCACGACACGTACATGGAAAGAGATAAAAAGAGTAATGTAGAGAAAGAAAAAGAAAGAGAGAAAGAGAAAGAAGCGTATGTGTCGATTACGACCTTGATGTGCGGCAATTAGCGGGTTTATTCGTGACAAGAGTGCAAAAGCGGATGAGCGGACAATACGGGTAATATCCGCAATAATAGCGCACATTTAACGGGAAATCCGAGCTCGCGTTCGTAAGCATTTCATCGTTGACATTCATCGAACGTCCATCGGAGTCGCTCGTTTTCCCACCGGAAATGTGTTGCGGTGGCGGTAAGGTTATTTGCATATTTCATGCCATGAGAATGATTATTCCCAATGACATATGTGTAATTAAAAACGGCTAAGCAAGATAATAATTGTGAACAAAAATACAATATTTCGTCATAATGCACGAAGAAAATGTTCTACTATAGTAGAAATTTTAACAAAATTTTTGTAATTTCTTGAGTCATAAAATTATGACAAGTTATTTTATGTTTAAAAATTACTATTTTTTTATGTTATGCATGTTTTCCTATAAAATTATTATAATTACTTAAATGCTTATATCGTATACCTTAGGTAGATCATCAAATTTACTATAATAATTTATAATCTCTAATAATTTATATACTATAATTATAGTTTAGCTTTATACAGAAACATTGTAAAAAAAAGTATAATTTTAACCTAATTTTTACTACGATATTTTCTCGCAATGTAGAAATATTCATATACATAAATATACAATAAACAAGTACATGCACTACACATGATATGCTAAACTTTTGACGCGCAGCAAAGGTGTTTCATTTTCTTAAGTGAAACATTCACTTTCGTCATTTCAAATAGTAATATTTTTACCATTATTCCGAATAAAAATGCCGTCACCTTTCACTCGTTTTAAATGAGACTGCACTCCAAGAAATTTTAAGAGTAGGTACTATAGTATTAATATGTATGATGAGTGACTTTACATTTATATAGTTACTATTGCTGGTTTGCAAAACAACAAAGACATATAGTTCGCATGTGAGAAATGTATAATTTATAATCTTAGTGAAATTGACCATTTTCTTTCTTTAATCAGTATATAGATATATCCGACGTAGAGAACTAGAAATTATGTTGGTTGAAATTTTGACTAACTCGAGTAGCACATATCTGTTAATGCGCTGCCAGTGTCTCCATTTGGATAATGCGATCAAAATTTTTTACACAAGTGCACTCATGCGACAGAGAGTATTAGCGTCAGATATGAAATGCATCTACGTACAGTCAGTCGTCGCGCCACCGAGATAAGTATGACAAACTACATCATCAACTCTCACTCTCCATCTACCCTCTCCATTTCTACGCGTGCACGTCGACAAGCCGAGGAAACATTTGCGTTTATTCTCATGGTGATAATGCAACCTCGGAAAGGACACCAGTGTTTTCTCAGTGGCTAATAATTAATGCAACAACACAACGATGTGCTGCAACGAGTGATATTCGAGTCATAAATTCACGTGTTGCCGTAAATCCGTTTTGCGAAAATTTACCTCTCATCGTCGCTTTCACGCATTTCGACGGATTAGAAGTTCCTCGCCACTTTGTTTAGCAACTAATCAAGCGAAAGTTTTCATTAATAGTTTCCTTACAAGTGAATAACGAGCGTGGTGCGAAACGATGTGCATAAATTGAGGATGCATGCATATATACTATACTTGTGTATGTGTATATGTGTGTATGTATATATGTGTGTGTAAGTATGAGTGTAGGGTGGGTAGGTGAGTGCGTGCGTGCGTGCATGTGTATGTGTGTAAGATGCACGGATGAGTGGTTACAGTACCTAAATGCAAATCCCACGCGACACGTAGCCTGCAATAACAGAATCCACTGTTTACCTTTCTACGTAATGCAAATCGCAACAAGGAAAGCGGCCGGCAAAGAGAGCACACAGCCGGAGAGAGAAAAAGAAAGAATTAGAAAATAGCGTTGCACTTACCATTGCTATCTCATCTGATTGTATGGATCGTTGGGACTTGGACAACTGAAGCTGCTGTTGTTGTTGTTGCTGTTGTTGCTGCTGCTGCTGCTGCTGGTGATGATTAAGGTAGTAACAACTTTTCGCCGTTGTTGCAGGTAAGCTTCCCAGACTGCCGTTCGTTAAATTGTAGGTGTATTGTGTCGCTACGTTTTTAACTATCGATTGATCACAGATATAAAAACTGATAATTATTAGGATCGACAAATCTGGCTTTTAATATTACAGGGATGTATTGAAAAATATAGTGTCTATTTATTCCTCTAATATTAATAGATTTCTATATTATATCATAATGAAAACTGAATGAAAAATAAATGAAAATAATTTATATTGGCATATATTAGCATTATAGCTTTTAGTTGCTTTTAATTAAACGGCTATTGATGTCTTGAGGAATTTTGTTAAGCGCAAATCGATGCGAAGTTGACAGAATAATAGATGGTTGAGAAGAAACGTGGAAAAGTATGAATTATACGTAGTTTAAGATAGTTCTATCACTGAGTGCCTTATTTTCAATAACGTATCAAGGGAACTACTCATACATTTGCTTTTTATTGCTGTATTTTGAAAACAAAAGGTCAATAATTTTGAAATTTATGTAAAATGTTTATATATTAGATTTTAATATCATAGTAGTTTTTCATTAAAATCTTACATGTAGTTTAAAAAATATTAAAAATACAAATTAAAAATAGCATGTCAGCTTGAAGAAATATATATAAAAAGCAGTGGCGTAGCCAGGAGGGCTGAGGGGGCTGCAGCCCCTCCCGAAATTAATTTTCGGGGTTACGCTAACTGTGAGACAAATTTTTTTGAATGACCTTTTTCTTGCTCGTCAAAAATAAAAAGTGCAAACCCCCCGAAACTTTTTTCTAACTACGTCATTGATAAAAAGTGTCAATTTTAGTTGCAAATATTTTAATTCTCGAATAGTCAATTTTTTTCTAATCGCACGAGCAGTTACATACTATTTTACTATGTATAATGTAAGATTTGATTTCATCAAATCAAATTCATTCTCATGAAACTCGTTTTCAAGTTAATACAACTTGAAGAAGAAAGCGAAGGAGACTTTTGCACAGGTCAATCAGAACTTCACATATTCTCTTGTGATATGATCGTGTATATCATGCAGAATTACATAAGTGAGCGCTCGTTTCTCCGAGGTTGATCGTGAGAATCGGAGAGATCTGTTTTCTTAGATTCCTAGTCGGATTGTTTGTTTTACCAGAAACTTTTGAATCACGTGGCGCTTAGAATAAGAAACCGCATTACCACCGTGAGCGAGTTTCATTCGAAGTTGAATCATATGTACATGACTTGAGTTAAATAGTTGGATAGAGCGAGGATTAAAGAAAACATCATTATTACAAGATCCTTACCGTTCTGCCGGGAATTCGTTAAGGTTTCCTCCACCGGCGTCTCCGCGGAGGCATTAATTATTCGTGCTTTCGTAACTCGCACAATATCGTCGCCTTGAGGCGGTCTGATTGTCTTCTTATTTGGCAATGAGGAGTACGCTGGAAAAAGAAACAAAAATACATAATATTATATGTGAAGTATATCGAATAAAAAAGCTCAGTTTCAAAGATATGCAAATTTTCCTGCACGAATTACGATCGAGTCAAATTGAACAAATAACAAATGGAAATGGAAAACCTAGAAATTAATATACAGTAAAAGCTTAATAAAATTCGAATGTTGTTTTATGTATGATATAAATGTATAATATGATTTCCTGTATGTATAATATATTTGTTCAATTACCAAACGGTTGATCAAACTGCACACGACAAATAATTTTATACACTTCTGGCTATAATATTAAATAAATCAAATACAAACAGATGCTTTACGTATTCGGTTGATTTGTTTTACGCGAGAGTAAAAAATTTTTTTCAACATATTCGTTCAATATATATCTTACCGGTGGTTGCGTCACCTTGGCCAATCACCAGATTACCCTTACCACCAGTGGTTTCCTTTCTGATGCTCTCGGACAATCGTCGCAGTCTGGATCTTGACCTGCGAGATAATCGTTGACCTGACGAAAATTGTTATCACACGTAATATACGATATATGCAAACGCATATTCCCCGATAATTATCTGTTGAATATCTCCATCATGTTTGAAAGTAAAACTAAAAAATGAGTAGGAGCCTTTGAATAAATTGTAATGTACATGCGCGTAGTTGCCGCCTACACGCCCGGAGAGTGCGGAATGAAATTCACTGATGAGTTTTAAATTTGGATAAAATTGCAGTCGCTGACACTCAGTTGCCTCATTTGCAAAAATGCGACAGAAGCGCATTTTACTCGCGCAATATGCGACTTCTTATTATGTGAAATAATAATCGTCTACGTGCGAATAAATATGCTCACATGTTTTTGTGCTTGCGATGCTTATCGTCCATCATCGCGTAAAGCTTATTTCTGTACTCGTCGACCGAGAGCTGCACATCATCACTCAGCAATGGCACAACGCTGGAGCCCCTCTCCGGTTCGTTTCCCCTTCTGTGAAAGCTATCGAAACGAGAATTACTCTAATTAAATATTCATTTGGCGGACGGCCATTAAGTGCCACATTGCTTTGTTTCAATTTCGACGGGCTCCTTCGAGCGCCATGTAAACTCGCTTCTCTGTTCGATTAAATAGACGAACTGTGTAATATGAGCTGCAGGAAAATAGCTGAAGCGCATAATTTTTGTTGGAAAAAGCTCGAAGGAAAATCCACTCGAGAGAAACACAGACTTCCTTCCGCGAATACTCGTACAATGAAACGCGCAAATTTCCGTATCATTTCCGCCGTTTGTTTGAAAGCTACTTTCTCATTGCGCGTCCAGATATCGAAAATCAATAGATTCCGCGTGTGACTGCCACGCAAATGAAGTAAAGGATAATAAAGATCGGCGAATTTTTATCATTACGTCGGCCGCGCGAGCTACCGACCGCGTCCACTGACAAAGTAACGAATGCATGTGAACCACGGACGCGTGGGGCATAGGACAGAATAATGAACGGGATGGCGGTTCTTTGTGACGTCGCGCGAAACCGCATGGAAATTTCACACCTCCGGAAAAACGATGATTGCCTGCGTTTCGTGAGATGCGGACGATAAATCGTCAACACTTGTCACTTGCCAAGGAAGAACAATCGAAGAAAGCTCGCGGGCGACGATTCTTTCACAATTCCTCGACGACAATAGAGGTTGAAGAGAATATTACTCATATCTCAAAAATAATGAACTAATTTTGAAAAAACTAGAGGTTAATCTATATTACTTGTAAATATAATAACAAATAATTTGACATTGATTCCAAGTCGCGATCAAAAGTTGTCCTACTTTAATGTATAAGCCCAGCAAATATGATCAAATTATACTTCTAATGTTAATAATGAGTTATTAATACGTCATTTAAGAGAGAACATTCCAATATATATATATATACATACACACACGCACGCACGCACGCACGCACGCACGCACGCACGCACACAGGGTGAGGCGATAAATATTTTTTAATCCATGTAGTCTAAAGGAAAATTTGTGTAATCAAATAGCATAGTACAAAGAGGGCTATAATAGGGCGACAATAACTTTTGTCCAGGTGGAGCACTTTAGAAATATCAAGGTCACCTTTATTTTTTAAATAGAATCGATGTATTTTGTTTCCATCATATGATAGAAAGGCTCAAAACAAGTTAAAACATATAACACAAGATCATTGAACAAGATTAAAAGTAAAAAAGCTATAAAAAAAAGTACAGATACAACGTGCACGATTGACTGATTTTCATTTTATTTTTATTTTATTTTATTTTATTTTATTATTAGTTCTATTATTAGTTTTGTCCTGAAAACTTGCTAATATAAGAAATGCTAAGATGTCTTTCAACAGTGTTTATTTTCCATTGAAATGATACAATCTCAATGAAGATCTTAATAAAGTTATTTTCCATTGAAATGATACCATCTCAATGAAGATAGATACTTCAAGGAAAGAAAACAAATGAGGAAAGGAAACAAACTTTGAAGAACATCTTAATATGTTCACAGGATATCATAAACATAAATATGAACAGAATTAGTTCACCAGATTTGACAATACTGGATTTCTTTATATGGGGAACCCTAAAGAACATGGTCTATAAAACCGGACCAACTATACTTCAACACGTGCAAGGACGAATTATTACAGCCTGTACGTCAATAACTCCCGACGTTATTAGAAGAGCGAGTCAATGAATAATCAGAAGAATCCAATGTTGCATTAATAATGATGGTCATTATTTCGAACATCTTTTATAAACGTAAGATTCACTTAATATGAAAAACGTATTTTTTATCGCTTTTTTAGTTTTAATCTTGTTCAATGATCTTGTGTGATATATTTTGAACTTGTTTTGAGTCTTTCTATCATATGATGGAAACAAAACATATCGATTCCATTTAAAAAAATGAAGGTAACCTTGATATCTCTAAATTGCCTCCATCTGGACAAAAGTCATTATCGCCATATTGTAGTCCTCTTTGTACTATTTGGTTACACAAATTTTTCTTTGGACTACACTGATTAAAAAAATATTTAAGATGGTAATAGTTATTGCCTCACCCTGTATATAATAAATTTTTATACGAAAAATAGAAATATTAGCGTATTCCTAATTTCCAGTGACTTATTGCAGAGACTGTAATACCGGTAATACATTCTTAATTTCACGGGATTAAGATTTTCGAATGAGATTCGCGCGTCGTCCTTAATGCGGTAATTATAATAAATGCGACTCACTCGGCGACGTAGGGGTGCTCCAGTGCCTCGACGGCGGTAAACCGTTGGGTGGGGTTGAAGACTATTAAATTGCTGATAAGGTCCAAAGCTTTCTCCGACACTTCCGGCAACAAATCCTTCAGAGCTCGTCTCGGTCCGTTGGGCATCTTCTCCAACAAATTGGTTCCGTAACCGGCGCTAACCGATATTAGATCTGAAAAAGAAAACAGTCAGAAACATCCTTTCTTCTCTCCTTTTTTCACCTCCTCTGTTCTTTTCTTCTTCTCTTTTTTCTCTCTTTTTTACTGCTATCAAGGCATACACGAGAAAAGTTACCTTCATCTGTCGGCGGAGGTAGAGTCACCATTATTCTCTCTACTTGGTTTATCGTCGATGAGCCGGGGAAGAGTGGTTTCCCGAGCAGCATTTCGCCGAGAATACAGCCTAAGGACCACATATCTATTCCCTTTGTGTACCTGAGAACATTTGTATTGTCGTAGATAGAATACGATCCCGACGGTCACTCGATGAAAAGTATCTGCTTCAGGAGACTAGTTCTCCAATCGGAGTAGTTACGTTGAAATTAGTGTACCCGAGAGGTACAAGTGAGCACACACAGAATCGAGATATAGAACATGTACATCAACGTTATTCGAGTTACACGTTATCGAGCTAATTAACGCGTTTTTCATCGTGCTAATTAACTGAAATAATATCTACAAGGATGGAATTATTCTATGAATTAGTCGACAATTGTGATTGTTAAACTCCGCGTGTCATACTCATTAGTAACTAAAATAATCTATTACAATGATCTCATAAAGTGAATCTGTAAAAATGTCCCTGATTGAATCAATGAAAAAACTATTTCACTAATAATTAGTGATTGTTCACTGATTTTCATTGAAAACACTCACTTTATTGCTGCGTCTTATACTGAGGTAACACAAATCTATGAGAATACATGCGAGGATGTCAATGCTCATCGAGTACGTTAGAGTTTGCCCAACGCGGCGATTCCCAAAATCGTTCGTGTCAAGGAAATGCCGATTGGAAATGAAGATAAGGGAGTTGATTGTGTATCTCTGTCGAATGTTCTCACTTCTCGCACTTTCATGTTATATGAAAAAGGACGCGCGATTGGCTATAGTAAAAATGAAAATGCGAAATCGCTATGTTCACGGGAACAGAAAGTGAAATATTACGCACGTGAATATGGAGGAATTGCAGTTGTTCTTTTTGAAATTGGCATAAGATTTATTAATTCTTCTATTAGCTATAGAATTGCTATTTTAGGTAACCTAAAACATAAAAATATTACATGATATGTGGAAAAATAAGATTATAAAAGCTATATATATATGCATGCATATAGATATATTTTATAAAAAAAGTATAATTTAAAAAGAATTTATTAATTATTTATATACTTAATCTATATAATTTCTTAAATGTATCATTTGAGATGTCGAATGGGTCTTGAGTATCCTTTAAAATGTTCTTCTTATTACATTAAAATTTTTTAAAATTTTATTATCATCATCCTCATTTTCATCCATAAAGAAAAAGAATATAATCCATAATTGTTATGATGCTTTAGAGGTTACGAAAATATTAATATATTTTTCACCTTTGAATACGTTTCACATTTTGGCTGCGTTACAATATTTGTTGCAGCACTGAAAATCTGTAGTTCATGTTATATATATTATAGATTTTCAATACTGATAAATATTGAAATGCGGTCTTCATGCGACATAATTCGACATGGAATTTTTTGCTGAGGAATATCACGTGAGGAATATTGCATTTTCACTATGATAAAAGCGAAAGCTCACTTTTATGATTTTGACTAGGTTTCATGATACATAATCGACCCTAAGGAGCGAGACGCGTTTTGTCTTTCTTTTGTCTTTTTGTTGTCTTTGTTTTGTCGCTTTTGTATAATTACTTCTAATTGATGAGAGTTAATCTCTCTGTCAGAATACCTCGGATTTTACTCAATTATGCATTATATTATCCTCAGCAGCTTTGTAAATTAACATAGTAGATTAACTTCTTAGTTATGAACTTTCGATAACTCCAAGGGTTTACGCTGTTATGCCCACGTTTGGGCACAGCAGCGTAAACCCTTAAACTGTGTTAAGATTGTGAGTAACAAGTTAGAAGTTGAGAGCTCAATGAGTTCGTACCGCCGAATCGCGGTTGTCCACGTGTCTATCAAATAGTTCAGGTGAACATCTGCAATCGCTTTAAACTTGAGATCACTCAATTTTGATTAACCCTTTTGACAGGCTTTAGAATCAATATTGCGGGTGACGATTGCAATTTGTCAAATGAAAAAAACTAACAAATATCAAGTTTAGCAATGTTTTCAGTTTAACAAGTTAACGTTTACAAAGAAAACAAAATATTTTTTATTGCAAAGAGATAACGTTTTAAAGTGGAAATTTTATGGTGCGTGTGAATTTCTTGTTTATCCTCTTTTTCTCCCTCTTTTTTTCTCTCTCTCTCTTCTCCTCTCTGTCTCTTTTTATTCAAAAAATGTTCGGACGCAAAAGATCATAAATGTATCGGAAAAAAATAAACCGACAACGGCGCGAGAACACGCAAAAGGGAGTGCGTAAGTCAAATAAACGTCTATGAACGTACCTCTTTGAAGCTATGAGAATTTCTGGCGCACGATACCACCGAGTGGCGACATAGCCCGTCAAAGTTGGATCGCTTCCAGCCTCACCGTCACCCTCGCCGATCTGCGTTACCGAACGTGCCAGTCCGAAGTCCGCAATTTTGCAATGGCATTGTGCATTCAGAAGCACGTTGGATGGCTGCAATAACAGGATAGCACGAACTCAACACACAACGGCACACGCCTTCCCCGCGATAGCACGAAACATGATGAAAAATTTGTACAATAATGAAATCGCGAGTATGAAAATTATGGAAACGCGAACCATTTCTCTCTTTTTCTCATAAATATGAAAATGAGAAGTATCTCTAACGGTCGTGCACTGAAAGAATGTACGTGAAATTAGAATTGAAATGCGAAATTTTTTCCAAAGACCTTTTCTCTTCGTACTGGGAAAGAAAATTAATTCTCAATCTCACAAAAATTATAATAATTTCCAACTCTACAATTTTATGATCTTTATATCCTTCTAATAAAAAAAGTTACAGTATGCATATAAGGTTATTATTAAAAATAGAATATTTATTACAAACATGGGTTTCTTTTTCATTTCACTTATTATCACAATTTTCGATAACTGTTAATCAATGGCTTAATGTATTTTTAATAATTATTTTAGTATGCAGTTGTACACATAAAGAATATTATATCTTTTTTTTCATTTAAATTATTTTCAATTTTACTATGTTTCTAGTGCAAAAAAAATGAACTGTCAATAAGGTGTAAGAGAAATATTATTGACAGTTTATTTCTTTTGTACCACTAGCGACATGATAAGATTGAAAATAATTTAAATAAAGAAAAAATATAATATTCTTAATAGCATATTTTTAATAGCATAGTTCTTGAGATATAGGTATGAGATAAAAGGATAATCAGTTACTTCGAAATGTCGACCTATTTCTCTGTTACAAAATTCTATAATAATTTTTATTATTACATTTTCTCCGTGTAATTCCAAATATCAAACACTTCTCTCTCAGTGCGAGATTTCAGAAACACACATGATAAGAAAAGTTTTTCAATTGCAGTGTATTGGTGCAAAAACTTACCTTCAGATCCCTGTGGATAACGTTGCCCGAGTGTATGTACTTGATCGCCTTAAAAAGTTGGTACATGATAAAGATCTTGTGGATATCTTTGAGGATATTGCCGCGCTTGATGACGTTGTGCAGGTCAGTTTCTGGGAAAATACGGAGCGGAACGAATTTCATGGTATAAATAAGAATCTACGTGACAATTTCGTGTGCGTGAATCTCCTTCTTCGGATCGTTAAAACTCACCCATGTACTCGAAAACCAGATAAATGTCCCGGTCGTTGTTCGCCTTGTGCAGCCCAATCAACCTGATGATGTTCTCGTGATTGGCGAACGACAACAGGAACATTATCTCACGGAACGTACGTTGTGCGTCCGTCTTATTCCGGAAAGCATCGAAGATCTTTTTCACCGCGACCGTGTCTTGTCTTTTCTTTTCGATCGCCTTCCATACTATACCGTAAGCCTGCGTGAAAGATCAACGCTTTTATTATAGTTGTTCCTATCGTCATTGATAGGACATTTCTACATTGCAAATAAAATAATCAAGTCTCTCAAGGCAAATTTCGCTGCGCAAATCGAGTGAAAATCGAATAAAAATCGAGTTAGATCGAAAATTCAACATGAGAATTTGAACTACGAAATTTAGTTAACAAGAAAAACTTTTAACAAAATTGAAGCGTAGCTGTATGTACAATATAAATGTTTATTCCACCAAAAAGTTGATATAATGCGTGACAGGGATAATTTTATCTCTGATTGGAAGGTTCAGCAAATCAAGCGATAAATAATATGTAAAATAATATATATGGCTTTATGATTGCCACAATTTCAATTTAGTTTAATTAAACCAAGTTTTGACTAATCTACATTTCATTTTGCATAAACAAGACATTAAAAAAAGACTAAAATTTGGCCGAGGGAATCAATTAGTTCGCCATATACAACCCTAAGTTTTTTTAATTCATCCAATATTCGAAATGTTCCCATGAATCTGTATTCTTTAGCATAAAATAATACAAAGGCATGTTCATATCTTGTCTCTATATTTTGCAATTGTGGTTTGCGATCCCTTAAACCTCCAACATCTTCGACATCTTGAGAAGAAACAAATCCGTTGGCACACATCACGTGTATCAACGGGCTTCTCGTCTACAAGATGTTCTTACATAAATCTCTCTTATGTGCCTTGTTCTTTTGTCGTTCGTCATGCGTGATATCGCGACATTAGATTCGCGAATTACGAATCATGCATTTCATCATTCCAACGAAGTATCAGGAAAGAAAGGACGGTTTTTACCCGCACGATCGGAATTATCTCGACCGAGCATTGATCACGCCATCAAATACAAGCGCAAGCGATGCGCATGAATATTGCATTACCCTAATTTGCATTGCACGCTCGCGGGTCATTGCAACGTAAATGAGAGACCGCCTTGCAAACGCATTGTCAAATCGCCCGCGTAAATATACGGCTGGCAAAAATCGACTTATAACGACGACACGGCGCGCGCGATCCGTTCGTCATCGTTGCGACGGCGACGACGGCGACGGCTTTTAACCGCATCGTTATTGATTGTCCCCGGCAACTTAAGTTCTCCTAACGAGGCAGATAGCTGCGACGATTATTGATATGCCGCGTGGGAACACCGGACAAAAGTCGCGTTATATAGTAACGCGAAGTTTTTTATCGCCATATTTTAATATACGCGTGTCTCGTTATCTCTTTCAAAGGAGCGCACGAACATCTTTAAAGATGCGAGGACTTAAGGATACGAAAATTTAAATGTAACGTTATGATAATACAACATGAAGAAAGTATGACCTGTGGAAGATCAGTCGTGGTTCTTTGGTGCGGCTGCCAACTAGAATAATTCACGGATGTATCTCGTTGTGAAACAAATTTTTATTTGCCAGTCATACTGAAGAAGCGCGATTAGGTTCTTACAGACTACAATCTCTGCATGTTAGATTATTTATATAGAGATCTTTATATATATAGATCTTATATATATATATAGATCTTTATTTATATAGAGATCTTTTACATGTATTTGTATGTACATGTATTTACATCTTTTACATGTATTTACATGTATTTGTATGTATTTGAATATTTTATTTAAATTTTGATCTATAGAGATATTTAAAAATTTAAATCTTTTATTTTGAAAATCTTCGAAATTTTTATCTTTGAATATTTAAAAAAATTCAAAACTTTTTATCATATGCAGAAATAAAATGGAATAATAAAATTAAAAAAAAAATGTTGCTGTATCGACATGCGCATGCAATTACACATTGTAATTTTCCCTTACATTCCAATTTACTTCACTTCTACTTCGCACTGACAGATTTGAAACAAAATCGCGTAATCACACGATTTATTATCATCACGCAGGACCCGCAAATTCCTTCTGACGAGTCATAAGAAGGGATGAGCAACAAATGGAGAATGAGTTACCCCTTTGCCGAGGCGTCGCACGATGTCGTACTGTTTGCTGATGTGCTCGTCAATCTCGGAGACCTTCTCGGCAGCCTTCTTCTCCGACATCGTCGCGACGGCGGCGGCGGCGGCGTCGGCGGCGACGGCGACGGAGACGGCGGAGACGGCCGGAGCTCGGGAGATCCGCCGAGGGTCCGGTGCCGACAACACCAGAGAGAGAAGTTTTCAGGTGGACGCGGAAGGTGCGAGTTGTCGCGACGCAATCACATCTTCGCTCATCTCCGCCAAGCGAGCCGCGGCGCGAGCAGCTTTTTTTCATGCGGCCTTTGACACGAATGCGCACCTGTGTGTTTACGGAATTGACGGGAGTTGCCGAGGCAACCGTGTCCACATCGTCGCCGCCGACCCACGGCTACCAACGATGTCGCGTGACATCGTTCGCGGAAGCGGGTGGTACTCCTCGACCACCCGGTAGAAGCATAAAACCAACACTCTTGCATTTCGCACACGAGAATATGCATGTGCGTTCGAGTGTGTGCGCGCTTTTTCCAATTTTTTATTTGAGACAAAACGAGTGGAGAGCACGTCGGGCGGCTTGCCCGGTGAAAATATGAAGAAGAAAAGATGAAAAGTAGTAGTACCTACTACACGTAGTGCGAGAACGTGACACCAATGGATTTCGCGGTAAAAAGTTATAGTCGTAATAGAATATTAATTTTATTTCAAATGTGGTCTTTTACGTGACCCTCTCTCTACATGATCAACATATGATAATATCGACATTTTATTTCTGTAGTTGTATTCATATAAATAATTGACACTTTTATTGTTTGCTTTATATTGTTTGAACGTATATTTTTCTCTCCTGCCAAAATATTACATAATGTTTGATAAATAGGAAATAGAAGAAATTCGTATAATTAAAAACTCCACTGTAAATAAAACGTGCCTGACTGTTTCATTCTTCATACACATGTTTTTGTTTTATTATCGTTATTGTTAATGTTCGTTAATTGCCGAAATTTATGCCTTCCTGTATTTCCTCCTTCTGGTAAATTGCTTGATGTGATTACGTATGTTTAATAAACTTCTATTGTCGGTATCGTATCGATTGAAGTTTGCCAATTGGGAAATTACTACTTGCAGATAAAGGGCCATTTGATGTAATGTTATTATGTATAACTAGATGAGGTAATTAGATGTCTTCTTTTTAACTGCATTGTAATTGCCCTGGAATCGAATTAGGATGCATGAAGGCAGCGCAAATTTTTATAAATATAAAAATACGAAAGAACGCAAGTATGCAGTAAGCGATAAATGCAATAAGCAACCATATTCATAAATGACCATATTCATGAATTTATACTGCTTGACAGCACGAACCTTTTCCTTTAATATAAATATTCATAAATTATGGTATGTTTTCCTCACAGAGTTATTTTATATTGAAGCAAAAATCGTCCTTTCGGTTGCTTGGAAAAAGTAAATAGATTAATATCTGACAATTTTTACAAAATAAATGGAAATTTGAAAGTTTCTTCTTTCAAATGTGTTCGTCATATCTTTTTATACAAATAAATTTTAAATGTAAAAACACAATTGAAAGATGATAATTAAAATTTGTATAATTATCTCCTCATTTAACTGAATATATATTAGTCAAAAGCAACAATACAATTATGTTCTTGATATAAAAAATTGGTAACTAAAGTTAAAAACTTTAGACTGTAAAATGCTTTTTGAACTGCCTCATTACGTTACATTTATCGACATTATAGCCTATTGCATTTTGACTATTTTTCACGATCGAGAGAGAGAAAAAAATGATCCTTTATTATTTTTAAAGTGTGTCTGATTTTGCCGTTAAGTTGTACTATTTGGAAATAAGCTCTTCTAATTTAATTTTGAATCGAAGAATATGAAAATAAAAGAAACATTTGATCTGCTTTTGAAACGTACTATATAAAAATAAAAACTCTTCTAATTTATTGTTGTATCGTAAATCTCGCCAATAATAATAAAAATAAAAATATATTTACTTATTGTTGAGTCTCGTATTACACCCTCGATTTCTCATTGTGGCGATAATGCAAAGGTACTCGTAACGGACCAGCCGAACAATATGCTACTTACACTTTGGAAAACTTAACAACTTGATTTAGGAACATTTACAATGTCTTTGGTAACAATAGCGAAGTACAAAAGCGCGCATTGGGATTAGCTAGCTGCTTTGAAACTTGCGATGACTTTCTTGGTTGGCAAGTACGTCTTCCCTAGATATACGCGTGAAATTGGATGGTTTAACATGATCTGCTGAGTCTCCACATACACTTCTCCACAAGTATCGAGAGGCGAACATAAATTCAAAAATATGGCGCCTCAGTAGTTTATGTTGAACCATCCAATTGCACGCAACAACACGTATATCTAGGGAAGACGCACCAATCAACCAGAAAAGTCGTTGCGAGTTTAAAAGTAGCTAATTAATTTCAATGCGTCTTTTGTACCTCGCTACGCCATTACTAAAGACATTGTAAAAAGTTTCTAAATCATCTAAATTTTTAAGTGCAAAGTGCGAGTAGCTTATTATCCATCCAGTCATTGCGAGCATCCTTACATTATTGCCATATTTTGATAACTTCGACGTTACTACAAAGTCATAGTTGCGATTGGGATCCATATATTTCGCGACGCAACCGTAACGTGTTCGATGAAACTTGTCGAGTCGCGAAAAGAAAGATTGTACGTTTCACGGACCGGCAGGGTGAAAATATCGCTGTACTCTACAAGTGAGTACGTCTGTCTTACATACGCCGCTACGTAGCATTACGAGAACAGTACCTGTTTCGGACAAGTTCATAGAACTTAGACAGGAAGAAGAGTGAAACACAGCTTCGTCGAAGTCTTTATCCGTGTTGTCAATCCAATTGTAAGAATTTTATGTCGCAGAATTTCGCAATATGCAGCTGCTAAAGTTTTAGAAAAATCACCCCACCTTGTTTGTCTAACTGGAGAGCGAATTTATCGTCTACAGAGTGTTTGTGTGTGTATGTGTAAGAGAGAGACAGAAAAAGATAGAGAGAGAGAGAGAGAGAGAGAGAGAGAGATTAGATGGCCTCAAGTTCAGCGCATTAATCCGTCATTTTCATGAGAATACGATAGTTACCATAGCAGACATCCTGGGGCTGTATTCTGTGCACGTTTACCGACAACTATCGATTCGATATGTCGTTACGCAGCTATTTTATGATATGATTATGTTTGTGTAACAACGAGAACCGACAGTTATCGGTAAGCGTGTATGTACAGAATACAGCCCTTAGAATTGCCACTAGCTCAAAGAAAAAAATAGAAGTATATTGCTTGAGAGAAATAAGTTTTAAAGGGATGCTGAAGCTGAAAACTTTACCGACAGAACAGTGACATTTTTTTGCAAAGTTTACGTTGTATTGGTTACACAGAATTACAAAATGCTTTTACGCAATGAAAGTACGTGCAAAAATAAATAGGAGCATTGCTCGATATGTGACGAAAACGAACAAAAAAATTTTAATGTAAAATCTTAAGTTGTCAGCGTAATATTTGTCTAATCTAAAAGTTCCGCAGCTTGTATATACTGAAAGTGTGGATGCTCCAAACAGAAAAATGTTGAAGAATATTGCTTTACCTTCGCATCTGCATTTGGAAGCTTAAAAATATCGAAAGATTTCTAGACATGTATGGTTAGGTTTTCTGTTGAATATGGTAAAACAAAGTAACACACATTCATGTAAATTCTGTATATACAAGAAATATGAAAAGGATAACGTGATTATGTTAATGACAGTCGTCTCTGCATTATCGACATTGTTCGAGTTTGTCATCGATTCCAGCATCTCCTTAATATAAACTTTAATAGAACGCTTTTTTTTTTATTGATACAGTATACATTGCCATTAAGTACTAGCTTATTTGGCTTAAAAAACCATATAGTCTCTGTTTTCCTTATCAGATACAGAAGTTGTTATCTTACTACTAAGCATATGTATAGGTATGTCTTAAGGTACTTGTGTTACATTGGTTGCTTAGAACTTGCCTTAATAACAGATTTTGTATTCTTTCGTAAAACTTATCTTTGAGCTTCAATTTAATATTAAACTTAAAATTTGACATTGTTATCCTTATTTTCTACCTATTTTCTTATCTCTATATTTCATAAATTTTATAAACATAATAAAAACATAGTAATATAATAAGAACAGAAATAAAAATAAAACTGAAAATAAAACTGTGAAACTTAGTAAACTAGTACTTAACTTATCCTTTTTACAGCCTAATTTTAATAGAACGCTTCATCATTAAAGAATGGTGGCGGCTCGTAGCGAACATATTGGAACTAACAGGACTAACGAATTTATTAAACGTAACGGGTCTAAACCGATATTAACGAAGATTCGAACCACACTTAGCTAAGATTCAAACCTTCTGCCTAAGAGTCTTCTCACGTGCACCATTAGATGACGTAAGTAAGTTGTTAGCATATTTTTTACCAGCAAGTGTATTTAATGTCATATTTAATGTAATATTTAATGTCAATATCGTTATTGTTATTGTTATATGTTGTCATGTTATATTGTTAAATGTTATATGTTATATTGTTAAATGTTAAATGTTATATTGTTAAATGTTATGTGTTATGTGTTATATCTATGTATTATATGTATCTTATGTATTATATGTATTATATATTATGTGTGTGTTATATATTAATGTGTTATATATATATATATTAATCTTTAGATTTAAGATTTATTAATTAAGCTTCAGATTTTATTTATATATATATATATATATATATATGTGTGTGTGTGTGTGTGTGTGTGTGTGTCATGTAATAGCCTATAAGCTATTCTCTCATCTTGACGATTTATAAATATTTATTTATTTACTTTTTATTTATTTATTTACTTTTCTTCATAATAAGGGTAAAAGAAAGGGTTTAAGCAATTTTTCTTAAAAAAAATTTATTTTAAAATAAATCAATATTTATTTACTTTAATACCTGTTACAAAAAAAAACTGGAATCTCTCGTTATATAATAAATGATTTTATATTAAATAAGTTCATTCACGAATAAATTTTTATTCTTCACGAATAAAAATGAAAGAATTGAAGACCCCACCCGAATGATCAACATATATATTATAGAAGTTTACTGACATATAGGTTTTCTTTTTGAAGAATTGTATCTATAAGGATTTGCATAAGTGAATATATTAAGTGTGCAAATAAGTTCGGTGCCTTTTTTTACATTATTTTGATGTTTATTTACAAACACACGAAAAATATGTTAATTTTCGAAATAGTCCCCATTATTTTCAACACATTTCTGCCATCTTTCAGGCAACTGGCAAATCTCCTGTTGAAAAAAAGATGGCGATTTTGAATCGATAAAGTCATTAATGCTTTTTTCAACTTCTTTGGGAGATCCCACTTGAAGTGGGAATCAACCAGGTGATACTGCAATGACCGGAACAGATGATAATCAGAAGGAGCAAGGTCTGGACAATAAGCCGCATGAAGGAGAATTTCCCAGCCCAAGTTAGAGATGATTTGTAGGGTTGCTTTCGCCGTATGTGGCCGTGCGTTATCGTGTAACAGAAACACGTGTCTAGTTCCACTGTAAAAGGCAGTGCTTTTTTGCTTAAGTACGTCACTTAATTTCATCATTTGCTGCTGGTAACGCTCAGAAGTTACGGTTTCACCGGGTTTGAGCAACTCATAATAAATAATGCCTTTCAAATCCCACGAAATACACAGCAACATCTTTTTCGCGTGAATATTCGGTTTAGCAGTAGATGTTGACGGTTCGCCCGGATGAACCCACGACCTTCGTCTTTTGGGATTGTCATACAAAACCCACTTTTCATCCCCAGTTATAATTTCATGCAGAAAGTTCTTTCTTTTAAATCGTAACAGCAAGGATAGTGCTGTGTCACAGCGTTTCGTTTTGTGTTCGGGGCTGAACATATGAAGAACCTAACGGCCTGTCTTTGAAATTATTTCAAGCTTCTTTAAACAAACAGAAATAGCTTGTTGAGTTACACCAAGTTGTTCCTATGCAAGTTCCTGTTGCGTCTGACAAAGGTCTTCCTTCAACAGCTGCTCCAACTCCTCGTCTTCAACTTTTTTGGCATTCCACTGCGTTCTCGATCAGTGAGATTGAAATCGCTACTCCGAAACTTCTGATATTACTTTTTACAAGTTTTATAGGTTACAGCACTTTCACCCAAAGCGGAACAAATCATTTCGATAGCCTGAGCAGCGTTTTTATTCAACTGGAACGCAAAAAGAATGGAGTGCCTCAAATGCTCCTTTTCGGACGACATCGTGATAACTACTGTTTTCTTAGAGTTAGGTCGGCAAGGCCGTCAACTACTGTAGTGTTTCTTAAAGCTTAAGGTTGGTACTTTCAAATCACTATAGGGCGGGAAAAACTTTTAATTTGAACCAGAGTTACAAAACATTAAAAGTAAAAGCACTGAATTTATTTGTACACCTAATAATACTTCATTAAAGGTATTGTCCATTGATAATTCTTAATTGATAAATTAATTAATAAATTCTCTTTTTTTTTAAAACTAGTTTGTTTCAGTCCGGTTGCGTAATTCATAAAAAGCCAAAATATTCGTTGCATAATTTGATAAAAATAAAAATATTCCCGTAGAAACAAACATGTTTTAAGATCCAATTTTTCAATTTTCCCAACACTTCAATTTATGATTTAAATTTGATGCGGTAAACTTGTGTGATTTATTGTAACGCAAACTTACTCGTGTAATATATATGTGTGTGTGTGTGTGTGTGTGTGTGTAATATACTATAACATAAGATACGTAACATAAATATACTATAACGTAAGATACGTATGCAGAAAACTAAACTGTCGGCTGTCGTCGTCTGCCGTTCCGTTACTATTGCTTCCGTAGCAAAGTGAACTAATCTAGACGACAAACCGAAGTCATATCGAGTAAGATCGTGCAAGCCAACGCGGTATTCATAAAAACGTTCGTAATGTCGTAGCTATTGCGATTGTCGAACAATTTAATTCGTCTGCAATTAATGCAAATATTGTCCGAACGATCACGCGGATTTTTACGCCTGGCGGATTCCGCCTTCTCGGCTGGAAAGTAAACCGGGATAACGAGTTAATCAAACAAATCTATCATCTGTTCAGGTCACCATGGCTGTTTCCAACAAGCGGAACGACGATTCCGTACATATCTCTCTCTTTTCTCGGTGCTAATAATTAAGTCTCTGTGTAATTACGATTGAACACGCGAACATATGTATGTTATTTCGAGTCTTATTCAAGATCCAGTGAAGCGTGTGAAGAGAGACAAAATTCGAAGAAACGACGACAGATTGACGCGCGTTAAGAAAAATCACGTTTTGGGATTTTTCAGTTTTTATCTCTATGCTCTTCTTTGTTAACATTTCCTTATCAAACGAGGAATCAGAGGTAATTAAAAGAAAAAATAAAGATATAAACATCAAAGATATGAAAATGAGAAGATAATATAGTTTGAAAACGCAAGTAATAAAAAATTTTATCAATTATTTCTCAAGGTTTACGATCTTGCTTGAAATAAAAATGTTACACAAATAAATAAATAAATTATCAGTCGTAAATAAATTAAAACAATGTCTAACGTTAATAATACATTTGTTGTTATATTTGCTGAGCTTACAATTCAAAATGGAACAACTTTTGATTCAGGCTCTAAATCAATATCAAATTGTTTGTCACTTTTAAATGCAATATAAATTAATCTGTAATTTTGTCAAAATTTTTTTATTGTTTTTGAGGTGTGAATAATACAGTCTTAAAGTGTTTCTGGGAATTTCCGAGAATCCAAGAGTTCTGAAATTAATGTATGCGTATAAAAGCATAATTAAGAGCAAATATTTATTAACGGTAAATAACAATGAAGCAAATAGTAGCACAGCCGACGGCATTACGACTGAATGTACGATAATACAATATTGAATCAAATCTTTTTACAAATTCTAACGCACGATTCTCCGCTATGTTCGCCAATTAATGAATAAATGTAAAGTTTCATCACGCGTACGATCGTTATTTACGAACCTCATATAATAGCTAATTATACTATCGGCGGTGTCTTTCACATGTGTTTCCTGTAAAATATACTAATGATCAAGCAGGGCGCAATCGACACAAGGAGGGAAAAAGAGGTGGGGAAACGCTTTTTCGATTCGTGCGGAATCGCGCTGACGTATGATATAATATTTAAAGCGCCATAGCTATCATCGATAGCGTGGATTCTGTCACAAGAGAACGAACGACCAGAGGCTCAAAGGTTTTCTGTTCTACCCGCCATCGGCAGTCACAGCTACCTGCGGCCGTCTACGAAGGAGAGACTAGAGGACGTGATCCGATCCACTAGTCTAAGCACCAAGAGAAAAGCATTCAGGATGGACAGCCAAATTTCCACTATCTCCATGACAATAGGTCAGTCTGTCTTCCTTATGTTGTTTCACTGTTGTCAATTAAGATCCAAGTAGAACGTCATAATTGATTCAGTGCATTTTAGAATGTTGTAATCTTACACGATTGTTATGAGAAATCACTCGATATAAAATGGATTAGTCAAGAAATCACATTTTTAAACATTTTTGTTTCTTTTATATGGCTCGTATATAAAACATAAGGTTGGCTATTTTTTCTTTTGTTTCGTTAAGCTTTTACTATCTTTTCAATATAACACATGTCAAATTCGAAAAATTTTGATATCTATTAAATTTTGAGAATACCTGTATAAAACTAAAAATTGTATATATATAAAATATCTATACAATATCTATAAAAGGTTTTTGTAAAAGCTAGAGACCTGGCAAAATAAACATTTTATTGTACATGAAACGACCATACATAGAGATTTTAAATTAATGTTATAAGTTTTATAAACTTAATAGAAGTTAAGTGTTGGCATATTACACACAAGTTTTCCTCGTTAAGATCGAAATCTCCTAAAAAGTAATTTTAAAATTAAAATCAATCTCGTGCCGCGTGGAGGAAGTCAGTGCAAGAAGAGGGTTGAGTTCATTTTGCATTTATCTCCTCATTTGGCACAAATTCGCTAGACGTGTTTGAGTATTCCCAACTGATTTAAATCTGGCTCGTCGGAATTGGTTCGATAATTCCGTTTGCTTTCGTCGTCGTCTTATCGCTGCTCGGAGTATTTCATGCTTCGTGCCAAATTTTCGGCTTCTACCTCTTTACGCGAACAAGGAACAGCAAATATCGAAGAGCCTGTCGTGTATCTTTCAGCCAGAAACGTATCTTCTTCAATCTCTTCTCACTGTTCGTTCTATTATTATCGCAAAACTATCACGAACAATATTGAACTTGTCAATAGCACAAAACAATTATGTCTCTAATTATCTCTTAATTCGCCACTTAATCGGCCGACCAAAGTTGCGGCCAACACGATTTCGGTTCTGCTTAGAAATTCCGCATATGTAATCTTTGCGATATATTATGAAAATTCATCGCGCGCGTACTAGGAAGCACAACAAAAGCGCTTTCACAAAATTAACGCGACACTCGTAATTGCGATGACAAGTACCATATATATATATATATATACATATTTTCGCGAGAACAAGTGTATTTATTTCACTCTTGAATAGTTGCGCTAACGCGATATATTGTACGCTAATATTATGCCATTCTATTGCGATTAAACAAGCATATGGCACACACATACGAAGATAAATAATGAATATTATACATGATTTAAATATAATAATTTATTAATGAGAAAAAATACAATTTAACTAAATAATAAAAACAACAATGGAAAAAGATATTAGTATGTATATATTAGTAAAGATATTAGTATGTAAATAAATTATATATTTAATGTGTTGTGTGTATATATAATAAGAATATTAGTATATTATTTATATAGGGTGCTCACATAGATTTTCGAGTTATTAATTAAAGAAAATTAATTAAAGAAAATCGGCGAACAATTGTGCGTAATTGTTCACTAATTTTTTTTAATTAATAATTCAGAAATATATATGGTTATTTGTAAAACGGTAAAGAAATTTTGCGTTTAGTTTCACCTAACCTAAATGTACAGAATCCTTTTTGCTTCAGAAATTTTCTATAAAGTCATTTGTTCCGATTTATTTATTTTTTTTTTTAGAGTTTGATGACGAGTTTGACGAGTTGAGTTTTAACGACTTGTAACAACGAGAATCTGGAAAAGCGTTATATAATTATTCCTGCGCGCATGCACATTTCATTTTGCAATACACTAACTATTGCACTAATCTATGTGCTACGTACTTATATATTTATGTATTCTTGAGAAAAAAATCTTAATTGTCTTGTACCGCGAGAAATCGTTGTCATTACGTTTTGTCAATGCGTCTGACCGTCTTTCTCGTATATGCAACGCAAAAAGCACTCGATTCGTTACCGTTTACAAAACGTACGATATCAAATTGCGACATGTAGCAAAAAATTGTGCGTGCTAAAAACGTTTTACATCAAAGTCAGTGTATTATCAGTTTACTTTGCATCAAATAATCGGAAAATAGCTTCTCATCAATCAATACAATGTTATCTTTGGCTTTGCTTTGACAAACAGAACGCGAATAATGAAACGAGTACGATTTGTACAATCATCCGATTTGAAGCAAAGCAAATTACTTCACACCTGTGCTAGTAAGATTAGTGTCTACAAGAAGAATACCTATAAATCTAATAAAAACTAATTAAGGACCGAGACTAATAACGAGAATGTCGAAACAATATTTTCGATATTCGCACAGATGCTATTGGCAGCCAATTATCAAAGATTCGTACACAAAAATTTCATCCTTGACACGCGAGACTCTCGAACAAACTTAAAATATTTAAGTAACCACACACGCGCGCTCGAAACGACCTCCTACTGCGATTCATACAATTCGATGATTTTAACTCGTTTATTGCCGCATTTACTTAACGTTGATATCACTGCGTTAATTATTAAGATCATCTGCACACGAGTGACAAAGGGACATGTGCACGTTGCGACGATATCGGCTGACTGATATGAATCACAAGATAATTTTCACGTTATTTACACAAAGTTTTAACATTTTCTGGAACTTCGTTGAAAATAATTGAGGAAACCGAAAGGTGATGCGTATACTCATTAAATTATCATTACACTAAATTCCATGCTACAATCGCAATGTTATAATTTCCCACTAACAATGTAACTATTATGTATAACATGCACATTTTAACAATAATCAAATAAATAAGTACAATACACTCTCTTTCGCCGTACGTAAGTAGCTGTTTCGATACTGGACAGCGATCAAATATGTAGCTTTTTTCTAGAAACGCAAATGCGCTTGAAATGTGAAAAGTATCATATTTCTATCATTCAGGAAGATATGTAACTACTAAACTACGTCGAGTTGACGTGAAACTTTTTATTTTTCACGTTTTCATTCCTAGGAAAAAATTACATGATTACCACCCATCATTAAGACCTTACACTGCAAAAAGTTTAATGTTAAATTTAACACATTTCACATGATTTATTTATTCTAATTTTTTGTATTAATTGAACACAAGATAAATATGTTAACAAACAACACAACTTATCTGTATATAATATATGTCGATATAAATCACAAGATAATTTTCACGTTATTTACACAAAGTTTTAACATTTTCTGGAACTTTGTTGAGAATAATTAAGGAAACCGAAAGGTGACGCGTATACTCATTAAATTATCATTACACTAAATTCCATGCTACAATCGCAATGTTATAATTTCCGACTAACTATGTAACTGTTATAACATGTGTTATATTACATTTACATTACTGAATGGGAAATTATAACATTGATATAATGTTACTGTTAGTGTTTTCTGGAAATTGACGTACCGGCAACAAGTGTAATAATTTTGAGATAAAAGGCTTAAAAATTGGCTCAGTTTATATAACATTAACGTATTCCATGTTCAACGTTAGAACGAGATCTACTTTCGGCACTGAAACATCCTGGAGCGAAAATGCACAATGACGCAATAATGCACAATGATGCAGTAAATCCTTATCGATGAATATCGACTCTGATCAATGAACGGAGCGATAAGTGCACGCACCTGTGTAATCTGATGGTTCTCTATTGACGTCTATTTGCTTAATTACGGCTCGTGTGAAAAAAGTCGGGCCGACTTTTCTTGTGGAACCGCGAATACGATTCTTTTCTTTTCTTTTCTAAGTTATCAAGTAGATAAATGGGTCACAGAACATTGCAAAACGCGAGCGATATATACATACCTATCATTTCGTGTTGCTAATTTTTAAAAAATTTTAACGTGCGCAATCGTCAGTTTAATCGACTCAACATATTTGCACAAACTCACAACGTTATGAAAGAGATGATGAGTCGAACGGATATTCTACGGATTATTTAATGAAATATCTTTCATTTATATAAAGTAGAAGTATTGGAAAGTATCGATATCTTAAATATCTTGAAAATTACGGGAGTTAAAGAAAATCTCATCTACAAAGACCAAACAAAATTCTACGATGGCCTTTTCTTTACCAAGTCACTTTTGTCTTAGGATTTTTTCTTTAATTCATACAGTTTTGAAAATACTTAAAATGCTAATAGTTAGTGATGCACTCTGTACATTGTATAAATTTTGCGCGCACGTACGAAATACTTTGACCGCAATGCGTGCGATTACTTCATGACGCAAATAATAGATATCTCAGATTTTAAGTGAACTAAATTGTAAACACATACACACTCGACACCGATTTCCCGTAATCGTTCTTTGTAAATCACAGTGATATGATTATTATTAGAAATCGTTTCTTCGATAAATGAAATTCGGAGGAAAATCTATTATGTCTCATTTTTCTCTCTTTTCTTTCTAGAAAATCCAAAAAATCAACCTAAAGAGGAAACTACGGACATCGAAAAAGCCATGGAGATATGCGGTGAGTTCTCGTTGCATTATTAATTCCTAGATAACCGCGCGGAATGCGAAATTCTATTGTATCTCTCTCTTTCTCTCTCTTAGATTAATTATATATACTATTATAATAATATAATTATATAAATATAATAACAAGAATAGAATATAGAAAGTTCAAAAGAATAAAAGGACGGATTCGCCACTATGATGGCGTATCTATGTAACCAATAAGAAATAAATAAATAAATCAATAAAAGCTGAATAGATAAATAGATAAAATTAATATTCTTCGATAAAAATAGAAAATTGCATACCTTCTCGATCATCAGGAACGACAATATTTATTTGATTGATTTGACGATTAATAATAACTAATTTCAGGTGATTAAACGACCAAAATAAACTAATGCAGTCAAAACATTATTTTCCTTTTTCTGCTTTGTTTTGCAAAACTGCAAAAGTTATGTATTAAATTGAGGACATAATATTTGATTATACACCTGGTAGAAATTTAATGCAGTCTTCAAACAGTTATTAGTATTATAGCAGTTATGAGTTTCTTAACTTTTGTCTAGTAATTGAAGGATAAAACTACTTGGGATTCTCCAAACAAAAGATAAAACACTTTTCCTGCAGTTAATGCGAAAGATGCATAAAATAAGAGTCCATTTATTGAACAAAAATAAAATAGAAAATGGACAAGAAATTACACTGAGAGAAAAATTATCTTAAAATCAACAAATATTTCCTTGGTGGGTGCCATTAACATATTTACTTAAATCTACATTCTCTTTACTTAAATCAAATATTGTTTACTTGATTTAAATAAACAATATTTGATTTAAGTAAAGAGAATGTAGATTTAAGTAAATATGTTAATGGCACCCACCAAGGAAATATTTGTTGATTTTAAGATAATTTTTCTCTCAGTGTATTTTAATGATTGATAATCGAATATCAAAAATTGATATATTAAGTATCAAGTATTACGCTCGCTTATTATCCGCTTATTTCCGCAGGAACCGGAAGATATCAGTACACATTTCTGCTGACATGCGGCATGTTGTTCATTTGCGTCGGCTTGCAATACGGAATAAACGCGTACATCCTGCCGTCGGCCGAATGCGATTTTAACATGAGATCGGAGCAGAAAGGATTCTTGAACGTCGCGTTTCTCGGAGGTGAGTCATGAACTCTCTGAAGTATTTTATTTAAATGTAGATTCGCACGTTTCCACATTTTCGACACATTTTCAGCACAAAACGTGCACATTATACATGCATTTTTGCGATAGTCATCACAAAGATTCGAGCTAATACTTACGTGTAGAGGTCGATTTCTGTCTTATCTCGCTCGTGACAATACCTATCATTAATGATTACATTACATTAATGATGAATTGAGTACTCTCGCAGCGTGAGTTTTCATCCAGTGAGCTATTCGCTGCGATAACTTATCATTACGCAGTTAAATTTCATCGATTAATGATTCAACTGTAACGAAATCCGGAACTGCCATTATATAATCACGTTGTGTAATTAAGCCTATTATGTCTATCCGATTTTCGCACAAACGAGCAATATAACGAAAAATTCAGCGCGATGCAGTAAGATGCAAACCGATGATTTCTTTAAGTTATAAACAATATGCGGGTCGATAATATTACATATTAATGTACGGAAAATATATTTGATAAGTAGATATTAGCACTTTGGAAGAAACACGGTCGATGTCCTTAGAATTTCTAGACAGTTCTAAATGCTTGACATGTCGTTTAAATATATATATTCGAAATATATATTTCCCACCTCTCAGGCAATTTTCGAATTCCATCTCGAAAAAATGTCTCGTCTTTTGAGGCGATCCAAGTTAGGAGCCAATTTTCGATTTCTGCGAAAGAAGTGAACCGATGACCTGCCAAATCGTGCTGCATCCGTCGGAACAACCAGTAATCGGAAGGAGCAATGTCCAGCGAATACGGCGGGTGCGATAAAATATCCCACTTGAGCGTTTCCAAATAATTTTTTACGATTTTTGCGACATGAGGCGTGTTATCATGCAGAAGAATAACTTTGTCATGTCTTTGCTCATATTCCGGCCGTTTTTTTCGTAATGTACGGCTCAAACGAATTAATTGTAGTCTATACCGATGGCCCGTAATGGAATCGCCAGATTGTAGCAGCTCATAGTATACAACACCCTTTACCAGATACACAGCATGACCTTCGAACCATGAATATTATTCGGCTTTGGTGTTGAGGTCGATGGCAACGATTGACTGGGCATAGCGTAGTATTTTTTCTTCTTGAGGTTATCGTAGAATATCCATTTCTCATCCCCAGTCACAATCCGATGTAAAAAACCCTTTCTTTGTTGCCTTTGAATCAGCTGCTCGCAAGTGAAAAATCGCCTTTCAACGTCTCTCAGTTTCAGTTCATAAGGCACCCAATTACCTTGCTTGTGAATCATTCCCATGGATTTCAATCGTACGGAAACTGCTTGTTGCGTAACTCCCAATGATTTTGCAAGCTCCTCTTGCGTTTGACTCGGATCTTCATCGAGTAATGCCTCCAATTTTTGGTCTTCGAATTTTTTTGGCTGTCCAGAGCGAGGCTTGTCTTCAACGCTGAAAT